CAAAACATCTCCAGTGTGCTGTGTTTCTTTGCAGAAACAAGTAAACTTGTTTGGTTGACAAAATAGTTTTTTTTCTTACTTGTGCTCTGAAATGGCTTTAGGAAAGATGGATGTGGTTTTTGTAACTAGATTTAGCTAGTAAAGATATACAGTATAAAGGACAGTGTTTATTGAGAGTAATATTATGCATTGCATTAATGCCTCAAATTTAATTATGTATGCTACTGCCATAAGGCATGTTCTTTTGGTACTGTGACGGTTACTTTATGTTGCATGAAAGATATAATAGTTTAAATTTTCTTGGATGTGATTAATTGCTCTCTGCAATGCTCTGGTGCACAATGTGAATGTTTTACAGTAGTGATACCTCTACTACTGGAGAGCTGCCTGATCTGCTGCTTTCGGTTCCCCTTGATGTCTTAATTACTTCATTGAACTTGTTATTGCACTAATTGGTTCTCCCACATAAAATCTACTAAACTGAAGCTCTTCAGGGCAGGGACTGCAAATCTCTGCTTTATACTGTAGCGTTCACATTAGGGTTTGAAATACAAGAAAGATGAGCAAGCAATACTGGGCAATTGTCTCGTACCTCACAATTACTAAAGGAGAGACGTCACTGAGAGCTTAATGCCACCTTGCTCAAGGCAAACTCCAACTTTCATCTCTTTGAAAGAACATATTGTTTAAACTGTGATTAACAAACAAACTCTATTAAGAAAAAGTGGGCCAGGCATAATTTAAGTGCGTAAATACCTTCAGCCTTTAGCCTGTCTGGATGAGAATTATTATCTTAAAAAACAGCAGAATCTTGTGCATTTTATTGATCGAAGAGTACTGTTGCTAATATTTTTTATTAGAAATGTCCTTAGTTGTCCATCTTAGCAATCAACAGTTTTTAGATACATGGAGTCCCAAAATCTGCTGAATTTATTTAGTTTTGTGCTGTCACCCCTGCAGTGGGATAGTGGGGAAAAATGTTACCAGAATTCAAAAGATCCATAATTGAGTTTAGAATATGTGTTGTATAACCAAATAAAACTACACACTAACCTACATTTTTTTCTAAAAACCTGCTGTGTGTCTGTGTGGCTTTAATTTCCCAATTTATACTACAATAGGAGAGAGCTGAATTTTGCGACAGAAGGCTCTGCTTATCTAATGCAATTGCATAACTACTTTGTTCATAACTACCTGTTCTGAGGTCTCCTAATTCTTTAACAAAACTGGAGTGTCAGAGTGTCTTTCAGAGCCCTTTGTTAAGTAGCATTAGCAAAGTGGGTCAGAGCTAAATAGACAAGAAAAGTTTTGAGACAACTGTGAAGGGTTACATGGACACAGCGTTTTCAGATATAACAGTCCTGAGCAGTGTTCTTTTAGAACAGTGCATCAGGAAAAGCCCTCAGTACATCGCTTGCTGTTACAAGATGGCACAGAGAAAAAGAAAATAACATCCTACTTCATATCATACTGTACACGGATGGGCATGCATATTATTCTAGCAAGGAAGTGTTTTTTTTATTTCCATCTGTGCAATGAGGACAATCTCCCATAGTTAGTCACTATGTTGTAACGCTCTTTTTAACACTAAGAAATGGTTTGTAATAAGTAAATGCACATCCCAAATTACAAACACTTCCTTCTCTCTGAGGACTTGTTGTAGTGGGGCCTGAGCAGTATTGTGCACTGTGCGAATCCTTGAATTGAATTTATTGCATGATGAACCTTACTACAGCTGTCCTGTAATTCCTTAGTAGCAACTTGTTACCCATGCATTTATATTATTTTCATTTTATATAACACAGGTCGATTATTAAAATTCACAGAGGATTAAGCCATTACCCAGTTTTAATACTACTAACAATTTACCCTCCACTAGAAATACATTTTTTCCCATTTATGTCGCAATCACTGCCACTGAAATCCATGCTTGTTATCTGGATTGTAATGAAACATTGTCTTAATGCCATTCCCACACAGGGTGCAGTGGTTTCCTGTTGCCTTTCCAAGTTGGTCTAACTGTACAGAGGTCGGCTCCTTCAATATTCCTGTGTCAGTTTTTGTTGGTAGAATGATGGTTGATGGCTAGCTAAAGAAATGGATTCAGTGTTCATCTTTAGTGGCAAAGATTCTTATTGTGTCTGAAACTATGGGCATAAAAAGTCCCTTGGGACTTGGAGGCTGATATCTTTGCTTGGGGTCATTCAGTCAATTTGCCATAATGCAGTTCTCCAAAAGTTATACCACCTGCGGAGTATGAAAGCTCAGTCCCAAAATGTGAAGATAGATAGATAATACTTTATTAATCCCGTAGGGAAATTGATGAAAAAGATAATGAATGACTTATAGACTTGCGTACATAGCAAGTCGCTTGAGCCTTTTCAGCATACTGTTGCAAAGTACATGCCTCTGTAACAATGCAAGGATCAAATGAAAAGGGATTTGATAAAGGTGAAAATAAACTGTGGGCTATATGAATCTGTAGATCTGATGCCCGCTCCAGTTTCTGGGCCCCTTGCCAAGCTTTGCGGTTTCAATGGAGCATAAAACAATTGTTGAAAACAAAAGAATTGTTGCTTTGATGTGTGCTTCTGTGAGTGCAATTATATAAAAGGAGCTTTCATCTGCATATTTAAATTGTCAGGCCTGTGCTCTTCATTGCAGTCATTTATATTTCCAGACAGACTGAAAGTATAAAGATCAAGGGAGGAAACTTGTTTTTCCAACTTTTCGTTTCTAGGGTGCCTTTGAGCACTCGAAGATATGTTCACAACCCTGCTCTTGCCTTCTCTTGTCTCCTCCAGTATTCAGCCACTGTTGGGTTGTTGCTGTTGTCTATAAACTGAAGAAAAATGACAGGTCCGACAGCGATCCATCACCTCCTCTCTTCAAAAGAACATGAAATCACATGACTCATACCTCACAGGGCATGGAGACACAAAGGCTGACACTGCTACCTTGTAGCACTGAAGCCCTGGGTTCAGTTCTGGATCAGGGGTTTTATTTGCATGGGGTTTGTGTGTTTGCCCCATGTTTGGGTGGGATTCCTCCAGATGCTCTGGTTTCCTCTCACAATTCAAAGACATACTGGTAGGTGAATTGGCTTCTGGGAAAACTGGCCCTGGTGTGAGTGTGTGCATATCTCTGTCTGCGTTTGCCATAGACTAGACATCAATCCAGACTCCTGCACCCTGTGCTTGCCAGGATAGGCGGTGGCTCCCCTGTGACCCGGTACTGGGAGAATGGATGGATAAACTCGCACCTCTTTACGAACACATTTCATTTTACTTGACTTTCGTCTGCTTTTGTAATGTTTTACAAAATAGGCAAGAGCCTTTCTTTCCGAGAACATTTCTTGAAACCTCCTTAAAGATGTTCTGCCTTGAGCTTTACCACCGAACGGTGTGAGTAAAGCTTGTGTAACAACCCCGTCTACCCCTTACAAGAAAGACACGGTGTCAGAGGGTGTCATAATGGCGAACCATTGAAAGTTGCTCTTCAATTTTGAATGTGGACACGTTAATAATAATGTTATTTAGTAACATTAAATATTTATAGATGTTCTAGAGGGTACACAAATCATTTCAACCTAAAAGTGTGAGGATTAATTTCCAAGTGACGCGCGGCAGAAATCTGTTTCAAACCTCATAGTCCTACTGCAATGAGTATGTTTAAAATTATGTTATTTTTAGAAGAGAAGGGAGAATTCTATCATGGGACAGATGACGCACTAAAAATGAAAGCCATAAGTAAATCTAAGTGTTCCCAAGGCATATATAGGTACATATATTTATGAAAGCTGAAAGCACAGAAGTAATTTCCTTGTTATTTTTCATAGCCTCATAGAACAAGCATTCAAGACATGAACATTAGCAGCTACAGACCTGATGCTGCCCTTGGCTATGATTTTTTCCCCTATTTTGAAATGATGGCTCCGGGTATTATAATAATTCCATTCATCCATCCATTTTCTAAGTCCTTTATTCAATACAGGATTGCAGGATTGCAAACACACACACACTCACGAGGGACAATTTTCCTAGAAGCCCGTTAACCTTCCAGTACAGTATGTGTTTGGGCTGTGGGAGGAAACGTATGAGAACAAGGGAACTCAATACAAACTCTGGGAATTGAACCCAAAGCCCCAACACTGCAAGGCACCAATGCTAACGTGTACATCACGCACCATTGTTAATGGCAAAGACATCCACGAAGTTGTTACTGGGTTGCTGCTGGAAGCGGTGTTAGAGGTGTTAGTGGGGCCAGCAGGGGGCGCCCACCCTGTGGTCCACGTGGGTCCTAATGCCCCAGTATAGTGACGGGGACACTATACTGTAAACAGGCGCCATCCTTCGGACGAGACGTAAAACCGAGGTCCTGACTCTCTGTGGTCATTAAAAATCCCAGGGCGTTTCTCGAAAAGAGTAGGGGTGTAACCCCGGCGTCCTGGCCAAATTTCCCATTGGCCCTCACCAATCATGGCCTCCTAATAATCCCCTCTATGAATTGGCTCCATTACTCTGCTCTCCTCCCCACTGATAGCTGATGTGTGGTGAGTGTTCTGGCGCACTATGGCTGCCGTCGCATCATCCAGGTGGATGCTGCACATTGGTTGTGGTGGAGGGGAGACCACATTACGTGTAAAGTGCTTTGAGTGGAGTGTCCAGAAAAGCACTAAATAAGTGTAAGCAATTATTATTATTATTATTATTATTATTATTATTATTATTATTATTTATGGAAGCTTATTAGCGCCACGATGAAAAACATTTTTTTTTTACAGAGGCAGCATATCACAACCTGCAATACTCCCAATTGTCTGGATGAAATCCATTATATATGTGCAAAAATCAGAAAAGGACATCTGAAATTGTTGGTTTGCAACATTCCTTTTGATTAGCTGTGAAGATACGGTTTTAACGATACAGTATGTGGCTTGGAATAACCCGTCCAGATAGAGGTGGATTTACAGACTCCAGCAATCTGCTGTCTTTTCACAGGTGACTATTTCGGAATCCTGCAGGAGGAGAAAGTGAATGGATTCCCTTTCAACGTCATGGAAAATCCAATGTACTGGGGCAGCACAGCCATTTACCTTGGACTGGCTTTGATGTGAGTTAATCCAGAGCTGTAACATCCTGAGAAATACAAGGACAACCTTTGACATCTTGTAATATTGTCATCACCTAGAACTGCTCCTCTATTTCTTTCTAAATTGTCACTTGTTTTGTTTTTTTTCTCTACTACTTTATTGATTTAGAGTTCAAAGATTATTGTGAACAACTGAGGGCAACTAACAGAAGGTTCTGTGCTTTCAGGCTGACAGTCTCCGAAATCCTATCCCTTATATGGCCCTGGCGTCTACAACAGCTGAATTGTTCCAGGTTAAGTGTAGTAAAATGTAATCAGCCCATTTTTTCTGGGTTATCAGGAAGAGTGTTTTCTTGGAATCAAGTGATTTGTTCACTTTAGGTGAGACTATTAAAGACAGAGAATTAAGGATTAATAAACCACAACCTGCAAAACAGAGGACAACATTTCTCTTCAAAGTAGCTGTTGTGATGCTTCCACGCAATAGGTTACTTCTCATACAGTACATACCATCTCTTCTGGGTGTTTGGGTTGAAGCAGTTCTGCTTTGCCATTCTGTTGCATACTTCAGCAACGCTGAGATTTGGTTGATAAAGGTTATTTGTGAATGTTTTATTTATATAGGTTGTCTTGTTACTACAATGTTTGGAACACAAGTGGCCCTTATCTTCAAAACACTTAAATTCCCAGAAGATGCAATAAACATCAAAGTGTTTTACATAAGAACTTTAGAGAAGTTACAAACAGGAGGAGAACATTCATCCCATCTAGCTTGTTTGGTTACTAGAAGCTAATTGATCAAAGGTGCTCATCCAGATGTTTCTTTAAAGAATCCAGGTATCAGCTTCAACAAAATGTTGGATACCTTGATACAGATTTTGTGAAAAAACGTTCTTCTAGGGTTCAGTTACGAATTCAGTTCCCTGGTGTTTTTACTTGTTTCACTGTTCAATCTGTTGGGGCTGAATTTGTTAAGGCCTTTGAGAATTTTCAATACTTGAAATTTTGTAATTTTCTCAATTCAAGACTGAAATGATTCAGTTTTGAATATATCTGGTTCAAGAGCTTTTTAGACCAGTTCAAAAGAGGTCATAGCCTTCAGTGTTCTACTTTTTAGTAGACCAAATAGTATCGATGATATTGTTGGTGAACTTTGGGAAAGTCACAACTCTAACATTGTTACTGTTTAAATGACTATAAACAATTATGAGCCAGGATCATAATTTATTTTTTTCCCCATTTTGAATGGACTTACTTTTAAAGTTGCTGTTGCATTTTAAAAAATAAAGACACCCAGAACTAGTTTTACAGAGATGTCCATTACTCGATTGTATTACCAGAGAAATGGGCAAAAGCATTACTTTTTTTGACGTTTTAATGATTTTACGAATGAAAGAACGTAAAATAACGTCAAACGTTTAGAAAAAGCAAGGAATGCAAGATAAACACAAATATGTTTCCCTTTAGAGTTTCAAATTAGTATTAAATCAAAGCTTGTGTGCTTGGTTTGTTTCCATAGTGATTGCCTTAGTAACGCCCGAGCTTCAGAATGCTATGATGCTGTTGCCTAGCAATAGCATAACTGCTTTCATCACTTTCTCTGTATGTGTTTCAGAACTTTTACATTTTAGCTCTTTTAACTATTATTTAGAACAATCATGATGCAGAAACAAATCTGCTGCTGTAAACAAGTAGCCAATAAATTAACTGTCTGCAGGAGCAACTTTTTTGTTATTGTATAGGCTAACACTGCTATCCCAAGACAAATGTGACCAAGATCTGCGTTTCTCAACCAGTGTTCCAAAGGACATTAGTGGGTGCACCGCAGCATTTTGGAAAAAGACGCATGGGAGAAGAATAAAAAAAACGAATCACTTAGTTTTGTGGGGCGGTGTTGCTCGTTTTGGCGTCTAGGCACTCGAGCTCGAGACAGGAGACAGGTGGGAACGGTGTGCAAAGTACGAGTTCAGTTTTTCATGTCTGACAGACGTAATGGACAAAAACGGAGGACGCCTGAGAGCACTGAGGAAGAGCTCTGTGTGTCACCCTCAGCAGCTCCTGCCAGGATAAAGCCACTCTTCGCTTCGAGGCCAGATCAGATTAAACACTGAAATTGTTGTTATAATATGATTGAGAATGTGTTCAGGCCCCAGTGATGTGTGTGAGTAGGGTGGCAGCCAGGGACGGATTTTGGCGTTCATAGGCCCTAGGCACTTTCACTCCGAAATGTGTAAAACGAGGGGTAAACGCCAATTGAATGACGTCGATTGACGTGAGGCGCTTTAAACTCTTCTCATGCTAAACCACGTGACTGACGGAGCGAGTCGAGTGACCATCACTTCTATACTTCTATTTTCTACAACAGCCGCTCGATAGCGTGTGATTATTGATTGGGAGCACCTAGAGTCGATCGCAAGCCTGTTGTTTCAGCTAATTTTTCGCTAGTCACTAGAGTTTCCCTCCTTCGTAGGCCCTAAAAAGTCCCTAGCCCCTAGGCACTGTGCCTACGGTGCCTAATGGGGAAATCTGGCACTGGTGGCAGTGTGCTGCAAAACATCTTTATTTTTGTAAGCATGCATATGCTCCACCTAGCTCTGTACATTTTAACATCCTCCACAGTATTCCTAACATTCAAACACAAATCACAACATACAGTAAATTCACCATGATGAAATGCCCCAATACTGACTGCCCTGGGGTGGAAAAGGTTGAGGAACACAGGTCTAGATCATGGCTAAGGTTCAAGAAAAAATTGAATATACTGTGTTCTGTTCTGTTAGGCTATGACTGGGTTAGGCCCACACATAGTGTATTTTCACAAAGTCTGTATGTACAGTCTGTAAGATCAGAAGCAGAAGTTTTCCCTCCCGGTCCTTTGCTGCTCCAATTAACTTGATAAACACAGTCTGAGAAGAAGAGGACTTTCTAAAATAATCACCTCAATAAGGGAAAAGACAGTACAGGCATCCCACGGCATTTTCCAGTGACTTAAAAAGCCGCAGAACAGTAGAACCTTACTTAGGATTGAATCCTGCTGAGAAGAGATATGCTGCACAGTCCTCTGTGGGGCTTTTTTCTCCTTCTGGGGCTTCATCCCTTTTTTAAAAGAACGATTTCTCACAAACAAAAACACAGAACATTTGTTTGCCTGCTGCTCTCTATCGCTCTCTCGCACACACGCTTGCGGGCTGTATACAGGTCCAGCTCATTTCCTAGCCCAGTGTAAAGCTTGTCTAAGTGATGGAACATGCTGCACGAGGCTTCATCTTGAGATTCGTTCCACATTCAGAGGAATAGTCAATTATCGATAACATACTCTTCATAAAGCATTTTGCGTTGAAATATATTAATTCGGCAGTCATGTGGAATAGTTCAGTGTTATTCATCTCATCTCTGGAGGTTTCCCATGTTTGGTGTCCGTGTACCCCGAGTTTCTGGTACCAACAGCTTTACAGTTGTCAGTCAAAAGTAATTGAACAATATTACAATTAGATTACATACAGTAATTGTGACAGTGGCCCAGAGCTACAGGGTTTTAAAATACCCTATGAAGACAACAGATACAGGACTATCTATTATCAGGCGCTGGGCTATGTGCACTCCAAAAACATTGTGTCAAAAAGCCAGATAATATTATTTTCTTCAGTCGTGCCCTAGGTCATGAATCACCGTGGTTACTGTGATAACACTGAATCACATGTAATTTCTGCTGTGAATCGTGATAACAAGGTGTGTCATGGAAACGTCCTGTGACTGCGACACTAATTCAGGTTTTGGAGATCCTAGCTTGTGTAGATGGGTTTGTACGCGAGGCGTTTTTAGAAAAATGTTGCCTGAAACACAGCAGCGTTATCACCTTGTAACGGGTCTAGTCAGATCACAGGCCAGTGGGGGTGGCACCCCACTGAAGACCATGAAGTCACTCCTGTAAATGGAGCTGATGGACCTGTAGGCAGCGTTCTTCCCAATGCGCCAGAATTTCCCAAACTAATGCCCTTGTATGATGGCGGGAAACAGTCTGCTGTAGAAGGTGTCCTTCAAATGAAACATGAAAACCAAGGTGCTGGACGCTTATGATTCCTGTTTCACTGGTGTTTCCGAAGAAGTACACTGGGATTACTTTGTCAGTGCCTTTGAGGATTTTGAATGCCCAGATAGTGTTCCAATCTTAATACAGAGTCACAGGGGAGCCAGAGCCTATCCCAGCAAGCAATGTTTGCAGGCAGGATACAAACCGGATGGGGCGCCGGTCCAATCGCAGGGCGAACACAGATACAGACATGCACGCACTCCCACCATGGCCAGTTTACCCAGAAGCCAGTTAACCTTTTTGGACTGTGGAAGGAAACCCACACGACACTGGGGAGAACATACAGACTCCACACAGACAGCACCCCAGGTCTGGAATCGAAACCCGAGCCCGCAAGCCCGCAGTGCCACCGTGACACTCCAAGTAAATACCAGGCTGTATTGCGTCTTGCGTCATCATTGTGTCAGTCCTTTATCAAAATAAAGGAATAAAAAAAGGACAGCATTTTTTATGAATAGCACACGCTGTCTTGTAATCCCTGAAAATAACTCTTGCTTACTTATTAGAACATAAGAAGATTTGTGTGGCATTTTGAACCTCTGTTGGGTACTCAGTAGCTCCTATAATTAATCTGCAAGTCACGGCAAGTTATCCATTAGTTTAAAAGATGTTTATTTCCTCCTTTTATTTTGTTTTCTTTCTTCTCACACTAGACTTCAGTGGCATCTTGATTGAGCTGACTGTTGTTCATATTAATCATTGTGGAAGCTTTATTTTTAGGCATTGTTTTGTGTTTGGAAAATGTCAGCAAGTGTACGAGAGAGTCCTTAGAGGTTTTGTGATATTAGATACGTGCCTGAAACGTTGCATGCTGTCCAGTATGCAACCATGGCAACCACACCCAAACTGTTGTCATTACTTATGAAATGACATCTAAGTGAGACTTAGTTCGTAGTTTGTGGAAAAACACACCTTAAAGCTCAATTTAAAGTTAAAGGGAAACCATCCTGTTTTTAAGAAAAAACAAGTACACGTGTGTTTTCTCAACAGTGGTGCCAAATTGGTTTGGTACATGGAGCCAGTCACTTTAACTTGATATTTTTCCATGTATTTTCTTTTAACTCTCTGTTTTCCAAAGTAAATATATCTGACAACTGGACAGACCTAGATTTAGATCTGCTAATATGTAAGGTGGATGTACAGACTAGTTCTCAGTTTGTAGACTGAAATGCACAACTGTTTGAACATAGTATCCTACCTTTT